TCACTATGGCGGTGTGTCCACTCACAGGATGAGTGGCGCTGCCCAATACTGTCACTATGGCGGTGTGTCCACTCACAGGATGAGTGGCGCTGCCCAATACTGTCACTATGGCGGTGTGTCCACTCACAGGATGAGTGGCGCTGCCCAATACTGTCACTATGGCGGTGTGTCCACTCACAGGATGAGTGGCGCTGCCCAATACTGTCACTATGGCGGTGTGTCCACTCACAGGATGAGTGACGCTGCCCAATACTGTCACTATGGCGGTGTGTCCACTCACAGGATGAGTGGCGCTGCCCAATACTGTCACTATGGCGGTGTGTCCACTCACAGGATGAGTGGCGCTGCCCAATACTGTCACTATGGCGGTGTGTCCACTCACAGGATGAGTGACGCTGCCCAATACTGTCACTATGGCGGTGTGTCCACTCACAGGATGAGTGGCGCTGCCCAATACTGTCACTATGGCGGTGTGTCCACTCACAGGATGAGTGACGCTGCCCAATACTGTCACTATGGCGGTGTGTCCACTCACAGGATGAGTGACGCTGCCCAATACTGTCACTATGGCGGTGTGTCCACTCACAGGATGAGTGACGCTGCCCAATACTGTCACTATGGCGGTGTGTTCACTCACAGGATGAGTGGCGCTGCCCAATACTGTCACTATGGCGGTGTGTCCACTCACAGGATGAGTGGCGCTGCCCAATACTGTCACTATGGCGGTGTGTCCACTCACAGGATGAGTGACGCTGCCCAATACTGTCACTATGGCGGTGTGTCCACTCACAGGATGAGTGGCGCTGCCCAATACTGTCACTATGGCGGTGTGTCCACTCACAGGATGAGTGGCGCTGCCCAATACTGTCACTATGGCGGTGTGTCCACTCACAGGATGAGTGACGCTGCCCAATACTGTCACTATGGCGGTGTGTCCACTCACAAGATGAGTGGCGCTGCCCAATACTGACACTATGGCGGTGTGTCCACTCACAGGATGAGTGGCGCTGCCCAATACTGTCACTATGGCGGTGTGTTCACTCACAGGATGAGTGACGCTGGCCAATACTGTCACTATGGCGGTGTGTCCACTCACAGGATGAGTGACGCTGCCCAATAAACTCGCCCCTCGGGGCAAAATTAAAATTAAACAGCCCCCCATGGGTGTTACCGGGTGGCAGGCAAGCAGCGGGTGGCAGGCAGGCAGCGGGTGGCAGGCAGGCAGCGGGTGGCAGGCAGGCAGCGGGTGGCAGGCAGGCAGCGGGTGGCAGGCAGGCAGCGGGTGGGTGGCAGCTTCCCTGGTAATGACCAAAGGCAGACCCACAACAACAGGTTTCACAATGAATGAGCAACTGGTGTACAAAGTTGACTACCAACACCCGTGCCCGGAGCCCAACACCCGTGCCCGGAGCCCTCAACATTCAGGGCGCGTCTTCTGCACCCAGATCTCCCGCCATATTTAACGTCCGCCCTTATAATGGCGCGCCACCGTCAACGTTTCCAGCGAGACATTACTGCCCGGGGGCCAGATTCAAGAAGCAGTTACGCAAGCACTTACGAACGTGTACATCTTTCCTCAATCTTTGACGGCTTTGTTTACTTTTATTAAACAGTTTACAAGCATGAAAACTTGCCAATCAACTGTTGTTATTGTTATAAACAGCCTCCTGGTGCTTCGGAGCTCATTAACTGTTTAATAATTGTAAACAAAGCCTCCAAAGATTGAGAAAAGATGTACACGTTCGTAAGTGCTTGCGTAACTGCTTCCTGAATCTAGCCCCGGGTCTCTGGCCAGCCTTCCCGCTCGAGGAGCCTGACCAATCAGCCTATTGGAGCGAGCGGCTCTCCTCTAGATAACACCCCAGAGGGTAGAAACTCTCGTGTTAATTCCCGGGCAAATAGTAAGGACCTGTGTTGTGTCCCCTAGTACAGGAAGTCGTGTGAATTATTGATCAGATTAAAAGGTGAATATTGGCCAGTATCAGTACAAGTATCCAGGTGGTTGACCAGTACTATGTCTGAGACTGTTCTTATTGACCCCCTCAGAATAGGTCTTAGATGGTGAATAGGAATAGGTCAGATAGTGACCTCCTCAGAATAGGTCTAGATAGTGAAAGCAGCTTTCAGGTCTCTTTAGATCACTTACAAGCTAAAAACATGAATTGCTCAAGTCAAACGCCGTTAAGCAAGCCTACACACACACGAAAATATGACATTTAAATTAGTAAATACACACACGCGCGCACACACACACACACGACAGTTGAGAGGCGGGACCAAAGAGCCAAAGCTCAACCCCCGCCCCGCAAGCACAATTAGGTGAGTACACACACACACACACACACACACACACACACACACACACACACACACACACACACACACACACACACACACACATGGAAGATTGACTGAAGCATCAATCCTGAACTGTTCGCCTCTGTTCAACCAGTGAAAAAAATACAGAAAACGGGAAAAAGGGGAGAGAGGGCGGGAAAGAAAAAGGGGGTAACTATTACTATGTCCAAAACCCACCAGTAACACCATAACCAAGTTAACAATAACATCAAACTTAACACAAGAGACAGCGTAAACACAGCGCCAGAACCTATGACGATACCTCATCAACTGATGAACATCCACCCAACATCCTGATTTATATTTCAAAGAGTGATTGATAAAGATTAAGCCACCCAAGAGGTGGCACGGGCATGAATAGCCCGTATTTTTTTTTTCAAAGAGTGGGCCCCTTCCAGGGAGCCGTGCGGGCCCCCAACACCTCACCGCGTTAAACACTCATGTAGGACAGACGTAAATCTGTGTATCTATGTATTTACGTATGTAGGTTAGCTTAGCATTTAAAAAGCACCGAATCACCTTCTGTGGTTGATTGTTCAATAAACCCTTGAACTAAATGAACAAATCCACAAGGGCCGTAACGAGGATTCGAACCTGCGTCCGGGAGCATCCCAGACACTGCCTTAATCGACTGAGCTACGACAGGGTTAAAAGGGTTGAAACCGAATCACAGCTCAGAATCAAACCGAATCAAACCGAATCGTGGCTCAGTCGATTAAGGCAGTGTCTGGGATGCTCCCGGACGTAGGTTCGAATCCTCGTCACGGCCCTTGTGGCTTTGTTCATTTGATGCATCACGTTAGTGTGATCTGTGTGTGTAACCCTTGAACTATATGTTTAACACATCTCTAACCCTGTCCATGGAGGACAGAAGAAAATGTATATATGCTGGTTAGCATTGTAAATGTCTGGCTACGTCTGTGGTAGAAAAAAACCCTCACCGGGGTGAGCCATCCAGGAAAGAAAAAAACAAGACCCAGACGCTGTTCTCCAGACAATCTGGTGTGTGTGTGTGTTGATGGGTCGTTGTCTTGACTCAACAAGCAGTTCCGTGGTGTTGTCAAAGCGAGTCTTGAAGTCATTACTTATTCATAAAGTAGGTAACTAATTCAATCCCAAATATGTCGTCTCGACCGTATGTCTGGGAAGGAGGTGGGGGGGGGAGGGGAGGGGGGGAGGGGGGAATAGGTAGAGATAGGTGGGATGTTCAGGTAAGTTTATTGAGAAACTGAAATGCATCTCAAAAGGATAGACACAAGTTTCAGCCCCGCTCCTGTGGCAGGTAAATCCATCGCGGGCTCACCATAGCCTGTGCTACTTGGAACTTTAAGTTCCCAGTAGCTGAATTTTAAACAACAAAAGGATAGAGAGGCTTAGGCTCTTTCTACTCTCGATGGGATGATGCATCTTGCTGGGATAGGGAGGGGGGGGGTTGATAGATTGTCTTGGAATGAGTGCCAGTTGTTAGGCCTATGAAGGGGGGAGTGGGGGGCGGGGAGATAAGTGCCAGTTGCTCCGGCAACAGCAGCCTCCCACACACACACACACACACACACACACACACACACACACACACACACACACACACACACACACACACACACACACACACACACACACACACACACAGAGGGATGGGGTATGAGGAGCGCCTGAGCGAACTGTGCCTTACGACACTAGAAAGAAGAAGGGAGAGGGGGGACATGATAGGAACGTATAAGATACTCAGAGGGATTGACAGAGTGGACATAGACGAAATGTTCACACGGAATAGTAACAGAACGAGGGGACATGGATGGAAGCTTGAAACTCAGATGAGTCACAGAGATGTTAGGAAGTTTTCTTTTAGCGTGAGAGTAGTGGGGAAATGGAATGTACTTCAGGAACAGGTTGTGGAAGCAAATACTATTCATAATTTTAAAACCAGGTATGATAGGTAAATGGGACAGGAGTCATTGCTGTAAACAACCGATGCTCGAAAGGCGGGATCCAAGAGTCAATGCTCGATCCTGCAGACACAACTAGGTGAGTACAACTAGGTGAGTACACACACACACGTTAGAAAGAATTTTTTCAGTGTTAAGAGTAGTAGACAAATGGAATACACTAGGAAGTGATGTGGTGGAGGCTGACTCCATACACAGTTTCAAATGTAGATATGATAGAGCCCAGTAGGCTCAGGAACCTGTACACCAGTTGATTGACAGTTGAGAGGCGGGACCAAAGAGCCAGAGCTCAACCCCCGCCAGCACACTTAGGATAGGTAAGTACACAGCTCGGTCGGATACCTACCGAAGGAGGAGCGACGGTTCCTACAATCGAGGTTGTAAGATCAATATCCCAAAGGGCGTCACTTGAGAAGTCTTGCACCTGTAGGAGGACTCCACACGTGCCCGTCCGCGACACCTGAGAACGCCCACACCTATGCCCACCTCTTCTTTCCCAGCTGGACTTGTCCCCCTGTTCTTACTCCCCTGTTCTTACCCTGTGGATGATCTTCGAGAGTGTTGTTTACCTGTATGTGTGCAGCTAATGTTTGTGTTCAATGATGGTTGGTGGTCCCAGTAGCGCCCTCTGCGAGGAGTGCCCTTTATTGGCACTGCTGGCACCCACCTGTGTCTGGTGGCACTGCTGGCACCCACCTGTGTGTCCGGTATAAACAGTACGCAGAGTGACGAACTCCGGGGCTGCTTCAGGGGTGGTCACTGTCTTGGGGAGGACCCTGAGGGCAGTGAGGGTGGGCGGGGCGGTGGTCTGGTCCAGGACAGGGTTGTGGGCGGCGCAGGTGTACTCCCCCGCCGCCCACGCCCCCACCGCCCGTATGAGGAGGTCCCCATGAGGGGTGAGGCGGTACACTGCGAAGGGAAAGCACAAGATATCAGCATTACACAAAGGAAGATTGGGTCTCGGGGTTCATAGATTTTTATAGTAGTGACCCCTACACCACACCCAGTTCCACCCACTACCACATCCTGGCCTACAGCTCTGCTCAGTATATACCTGGATCACTGGAGGATATGTTAAGGAGGTGACCATCCTTGTAGAAAGTGACCCGAGCCTCTGGGATGGAGTTGGGGGCACCGCACTCCACCCTGGCCGAGCCGCCCTCCACCACCTCCACCTCCACCCTCTGGGCGGCGCCCTCAGGAAAGGGCTCCAGGGCCGCCCCCACCAGCCGCCCGGGCAGTGAGGTCAGGGCAATGGCCCCGAACCATGCCACACACTGTAAGAGAAAAATAGAGACGAGGCTTAGGATATTATACATGTACCATACATGTCAGGTCAGGTCAGGTCATGTCAGGTCAGGTCACAGTTTGTATTATATTAACAAAATCGTGATGAGAAGATAAGCAAAATTGTCTGGAGCAGCTATAATACGATGCTGGTGACTGAAAGACTAAGGAGCTGAAGCTTGCTTTGTAAGCATATACAGGGCAGCACACAACACACACACACACACACACACACACACACACACACACACACACACACACACACACACAGGCCTCAGAAAATACGAGACAAAAGTTTGTGAACATACTAAAGTGACCTAATGACAGACGAGAGAAAAACTTGCTCAGGTGGAAGATGCACCAAGGTAAACACACACACACTAGAAGACATGTACTAACGATCAACAGCGTCATTAGAGGCTAAAAGTCACACTAAACTGAAAAAAAACTTGAACTCTGACAATGGCAACATTCGGGTGCAGGCAGTTGGAAGATGGTGACTTTTGTCTTCCAGACAATGAACCCACAATTAATAAAATAGCAAAGAAGGGGAATAATTCAAAGATAATTACAGTTATTCAAGGCCTGACAAGAGTTGAAAATTAAACTAATCGATTTCGCCTCAGTCCTTCTAAGATTTCCCACGTCAAGAAAATGTCGCGCTAAAGTGCGCTTATCTTACCCTACGAGAGGTTAGGTTATCTTGAGGTTATCTTGAGATGATTTCGGGGATTTTAGTGTCCCCGCGGCCCGGTCCTCGACCAGGCCTCCACCCCCAGGAAGCAGCCCGTGACAGCTGACTAACACCCAGGTACCTATTTTACTGCTAGGTAACAGGGGCATAGGGTGAAAGAAACTCTGCCCCATTGTTTCTCGCCGGCGCCTAGGATCGAACCCAGGACCACAGGATCACAAGGCCAGCGTGCTGTCCGCTCGGCCGACCGGCTCGAGGTAGAGTAAGATAATTTACAATTATTACTTAACCTATCAACAGTATAGGTTAAGTGATAATTGTAATTAAGAAGCAACAAGATGCTTTTCTTAACATACCAAGAAGGTTAGGTGAGGTCGGTGTTTTCTATGAAGCTTTTCAAGGTAAACTAAAATATTTATAATAAATTAGTATGTCACATATGCACTTATTAAATAAGCCAATATTGACTAGAAGCAAGTGCGAGAACGGGTTGCCTGGGGGAGCCGGTCGGCCGAGCGGACAGCACGCTGGACTTGTGATCCTGTGGTCCCGGGATCGATCCCGGGCGCCGGCGAGAAACAATGGGCAGAGTTTCTTTCACCCTATGCCCCTGTTACCTAGCAGTAAAATAGGTACCTGGGTGTTAGTCAGCTGTCACGGGCTGCTTCCTAGGGGTGGAGGCCTGGTCGAGGACCGGGCCGCGGGGACACTAAAAAGCCCCGAAATCATCTCAAGATAACCTCAAGATAACCCTGAACAGAAAACGGGTGTGTACCGTATGGATCGAGAGAGAGACAGAGGGAGGGAGACAGGGGCAGAGAAAAAGACAGAAAGGGTAGATACAGAGAGATAAAGACAGAAAGGGTATATACAGAGAGATAAAGACAGAAAGGGAGAGATAAAGAGAGAGAGAGATTATCAGGGGAAAGCGCCAAGCAAATACGACTATATAGCACTTGGAAGGGGTTAGGATAAGGAATTGGGATGGGACGATGGGAAAAAGAAATGGTTGCCCATCCACTTGTAGACGTTCGAAGATTGAACACCGACCTGCTTGAAGCAAGACCGTCGCTCTAACCGTTCAGCCCAAGTGGTCAATTTCGCGAGCCGCTACTATTTTCTAATACGACGATCTTTGGCCTTAAGTAGAGTATACGTCAAAATGCGACGTGCTATTAGGAGGATAGAGAGGATCCTTGGATAGAGAGAACCAGGAATAGAGGACGACAAGGGTCGGTACTAAGGGAGGGAGGCTAGTTTCCAGTACGTGTCAACCGTCTGACAGAGGAAATTAACTTTCAAATGACCACGAACGACATGCAGGAATCTGTACACCGGTTGACTGACAGTTGAAAGGCGGAAAAAAAAAAAAGAGTCGAAGCTCACCCCCGTCCCCCCACACCCCTCTCCCAACGCAGGCACAACTAGGTGAGTACACACACACACACACACACAACACACACACACACACACACACACCCACACACACCCACACCACACACCACACACACACACACACACACACACACACACACACACACACACACACACCCCACACCTGTTGATTGACGGTTGAGAGGCGGGACCAGAGCTCAACCCCCCGCAAACACAACTAGGTGAGTACACACACACACACACACACACACACACACACACACACACACACACACACACACACACACACACACACACCACACACACACACACAGATGTGGTGGAGGCTGACTCCATACACAGTTTTAAATGTAGATATGATAAGAGCCCAGTAGCTCAGCAACCTGTACACCCTTTGACTGACAGTTGAGAGGCGGGACCAAAGCTCAACCCCCGCAAACACAACTAGGTGAACACACACACACACACACCAGTGTACCCTTAACAGATAACGAATGTGTGTAAGAG